ATGATCCCCTATTGCCCGGGGGCCCCATGAGTTGTCAGTCTGCCCCTGTGTAGGAACGTAGGTGCAGCAGCAGGCAGGTATGGCGGCAATCAGGATGCAGACTGGGACTGTACACAGGAGCGGGGATGCGGCAGCAGGCAGGTATGGCAGTGACCAGGATGCAGGCCAGGTGCAGGTCCGTGGGTGCAGTAGCAGGTAAGAATGGCGGTGACCAGGATGCAGGCCAGGTGCAGGACCGTGGGTGCAGTAGCAGGTAGGTATGGCGGTGACCAGGATGCAGGCCAGGTGCAGGTCCGTGGGTGCAGTAGCAGGTAAGAATGGCGGTGACCAGGATGCAGGCCAGGTGCAGGTCCGTGGGTGCAGTAGCAGGTAGGTATGGCGGTGACCAGGATGCAGGCCAGGTGCAGGACCGTGGGTGCAGCAGCAGGTAGGTATGGCGGTGACCAGGATGCAGGCCAGGTGCAGGACCGTGGGTGCAGCAGCAGGTAGGTATGGCGGTGACCAGGATGCAGGCCAGGTGCAGGACCGTGGGTGCAGCAGCAGGTAGGTATGGCGGTGACCAGGATGCAGGCGGGTGTAGGACCGTGGGTGCAGCAGCAGGTAGGTATGGCGGTGGCCAGGTGCAGGACCATGGGTGCAGCAGCAGGTAGGTATGGCGGTGACCCGGATGCAGGCCAGGTGTAGGACCGTGGGTGCAGTAGCAGCTAAGTATGGCGGTGACCAGGATGCAGGCAGCTGTAGGACCGTGGGTGCAGCAGCAGGTAGGTATGGCGGTGGCCAGGTGCAGGACCATGGGTGCAGCAGCAGGTAAGTATGGCGGTGGCCAGGTGCAGGACCGTGGGGTGCAGCAGCAGGTAGGTATGGCAGTGACCAGGATGCAGGCCAGGTGCAGGACCGTGGGTGCAGCAGCAGGTAAGCATGGCAGCCGTCAGGATACAAGCCAGGTGCGGATACAGGTAAGTAGGTGCAGCAGAGTCAGACAAGCCGGGTCAGGATCACACGAGCAAATCAAGTACAAGGGCATAGGGGAGCGGATGGTCAGGGATAGCCGGGGTCGGTGCAGGCGGAGTTCTTTCTTAGTCAGGTCAGATCAGAATACAACAGAATCAGGTAATGTAGTGCAGGACGTTATAGACCAGAAGGCATTGATTTTACTGCTCTGCAGGTTTAAATAGCCCGCCTTGCGGTGACGTGTATGCTACTGCGCTTGCGCGCTCATGTGCATGCGCACTCGCACCATAACGGCCTGAGGGGATCTGTCGCCATCGCACAGCTGCACGGGAGCAGGATCCCTGACAACACCCTTCCATATACTCCGTGCAGAGTCTGGCTTTAGGTGAGACACAGAGATGAAACAAATCCTCCTAAAGTTGTATCTGTTTATCTGCTGTATTCTCCTATCTTCTCTTCATCCATGCCAATTCCAGAGTTTACACATCATGCCTGAGATCCACAAGGCAGGGGCAGGGATCTGATGTCTCTCACTGCACAGCATAGACCAGTGAGCTGAGTGTAATCGGAGAACTTAGAGGAGGGATGGACACCGCTCCCCTGTACACAATCTCCTAGGGAAACCTCCACAGCTAAGGGTGTCAGTCACCTGCTGTGTGTTGGAGCCCCTTCTTCTCATCCTCCTGGATTCCTTGGAGTCAGCATAACCTGTCAGAGGTGACTCAAGCAAATAGTAGAGGAAGGATAAATGGAGAGAAGTCACACTCGGTGCTCAGGGTTGCGGCAAGTACACCTATAGGAGGATGTGCCTTTTTCATTTAAAGGTTTACAACCACTGTAAAGCAGAACTCCAGCTCCACATACAAAGGATACATATACAGGTGAAACTCAAAAAATGAGAATATGGTGCAAAAGTTCATTTATTTCAGTGCAGCAACTTAAAAGGTGAAACGAATATATGAGACTCATTACATGCAAAGCAAGATAGTTCAAGCCGTGATTTGTCATCATTGTGATGATTATGGCTTACAGCTCATGAAAACCCCAAATCCACAATCTCAGAAAATGAGAATATTGTGAAAAGGTGGAATAATCTCGGCTCAAAGTGTCCCACTCTAATCAGCTCATTCAGCCATAACACCTGCAAAGGGTTCCTGAGCCTTTAAATTGTCTCTCAGTCTGGTTCAGTAGGAATCACAATCATGGGAAAGACTGCTGACCTGACACCATCACTGACACCCTCCATAAGGAGGGAAAGCCTCAAAAGGTCATTGCAGAAGAAGTTGGATGTTCCCAAAGTGCTGTATCAAAGCACATTAATAGAAAGTTATGTGGAAGGGAAAAGTGTGGAAGAAAAAGGTGCACAAGCAGCAGGGATGACTGCAGCCTGGAGAGGATTGTCAGGAAAAGGCCATTCAAAAGTGTTGGGGACTTTCACAAGGAGTGGACTGAGGCTGGAGTCAGTGCATCAAGAGCCACCACACATAGACATGGGCTTCAAATGTCGTATTCCTCTTGTCAAGCCGCTCCTGAACAACAAACAATGTCAGAAGCGTCTTACCTGGGCTAAAGAAAAACAGACCTGGTCTGTTGCTCAGTGGTCCAAAGTCCTCTTTTCTGATGAGTGCAACTTTTGCATCTCATTTGGAAATCAAGGACCCTGAGTATGGAGGAAGAATGGATAGGCCCAAGGACCCCGAGTATGGAGGAAGAATGGATAGGCCCAAGGACCCCGAGTATGGAGGAAGAATGGAGAGGCCCAAGGACCCCAAGTATGGAGGAAGAATGGAGAGGCCCAAGGACCCCGAGTATGGAGGAAGAATGGAGAAGCACAAGAACCCCGAGTATGGAGGAAGAATGGAGAAGCCCAAGAACCCCGAGTATGGAGGAAGAATGGAGAAGCCCAAGAACCCCGAGTATGGAGGAAGAATGGAGAGGCACAAGGACCCCGAGTATGGAGGAAGAATGGAGAGGCACAAGGACCCCGAGTATGGAGGAAAAATGGAGAGGCCCAAGGACCCCGAGTATGGAGGAAGAATGAAGAGGCCCAAGGACCCCGAGTATGGAGGAAGAATGGAGAGGCCCAAGGACCCCAAGTATGGAGGAAGAATGGAGAAGCCCAAGGACCCCGAGTATGGAGGAAGAATGGAGAGGCCCAAGAACCCCGAGTATGGAGGAAGAATGGAGAGGCACAAGGACCCCGAGTATGGAGGAAGAATGGAGAGGCCCAAGGACCCCGAGTATGGAGGAAAAATGGAGAGGCCCAAGGACCCCGAGTATGTAGGAAGAATGGAGAAGCCCAAGGACCCCGAGTATGGAGGAAGAATGGAGAGGCCCAAGGACCCCGAGTATGGAGGAAGAATGGAGAGGCCCAAGGACCCCGAGTATGGAGGAAAAATGGAGAGGCCCAAGGACCCCGAGTATGGAGGAAGAATGGAGAAGCCCAAGGACCCCGAGTATGGAGGAAGAATGGAAAGGCCCAAGGACCCCGAGTATGGAGGAAGAATGGAGAGGCACAAGGACCCCGAGTATGGAGGAAGAATGGAGAGGCACAAGGACCCCGAGTATGGAGGAAGAATGGAGAGGCCCAAGGACCCCGAGTATGGAGGAAGAATGGAGAGGCCCAAGGACCCCGAGTATGGAGGAAGAATGGAGAGGCACACACTGCAAGATGCTTGAAGTCCAGTGTGAAGTTTCCACAGTCTGTGTTGATTTGGGGAGCCATGTCATCTGCTGGTCTTGGCCCATTGTGCTTCATTAAGTCCAGGGTCAATGCGGCCGTCTACCAGGAGATTTTGGAGCACTTCATGCTTCCTTCCGCAGACGAGCTTTATGGGGATGCTGACTTCATTTTCCAGCAGGACTTGGCACCGCCCACACTGCCAAAAGCACCAAAACCTGGTTCAATGACTGTGGGATTACTGTGCTTGATTGGCCAGCAAACTCGCCTGAGCTGAACCCCATAGAGAATCTATGGGGCATTGCCAAGAGAAAGATGAGAGACATGAGACCGAACAATGCAGAAGAGCTGAAGGCCGCTATTGAAGCATCCTGGTCTTCCATAACACCTCAGCAGTGCCACAGGCTGATAGCTTCCATGCCACGCCGCATTGAGGCAGTAATTGCTGCAAAAGGGGCCCAAACCAAGTACTGAGTACATATGCAGCTTCTGCTTTTCAGAGGTGCGATATTGTTCTATGTACAATCTGTGTTTTATTGATTGCATGGAATATTCTCATTTTCTGAGATTGTGGATTTGGGGTTTTCATGAGCTGTAAGCCATAATCATCACAATGATGACAAATCACGGCTTGAACTATCTTGCTTTGCATGTAATGAGTCTCATATATTAGTTTCACCTTTTAAGTTGCTGCACTGAAATAAATGAACTTTTGCACCATATTCTCATTTTTTGAGTTTCACCTGTAAGTGGACTAACCCTTTCAATCAGCCATTCTCAAACACGGTTGCTAGAGGTTCTTTGAGCTGTGATTGATTGACCTCCCACCTTAGGATACTAGCATAGTTCTGGGGCCAGTGTCACTAGCAAAATCAGCGGCACCATAATGATCAGCTGTATGAAAGGGTGGCATTCTTTCTACTGATCACCAATGTAAGGGACATTCTTCTCACTAATCACCAATGTAAGGGACATTCTTCCCACTGACCCCCCAATGTAAGGGACATTCTTCCCACCGACCCCCAATGTAAGGGACATTCTTCCCACTGACCCCCAATGTAAGGGACATTCTCCTCACTGATCCCCCAATGTAAGGGACATTCTTCCCACTGACCCCCAATGTAAGGGACATTCTTCCCACTGACACCCAATGTAAGGGACATTCTTCTCACTGACCCCCAATGTAAGGGACATTCCTCCCATTGACCCCCAATGTAAGGGACATTCTTCCCACTGATCACCAATGTAAGGGACATTCATCCCGCTGACCCCCAATGTAAGGGACATTCTTCCCACTGATCACCAATGTAAGGGACGTTCTTCCCACTGACCACCAATGTAAGGGACGTTCTTCCCACTGACCCCCAATGTAAGGGACATTCTTCCCACTGACCACCAATGTAAGGGACATTCTTCCCACTGATCACCAATGTAAGGGACATTCTTCCCACTGATCACCAATGTGAGGGACATTCTTCCCACTGACCCCCCCCAATGTAAGGGACGTTCTTCCCACTGACCCCCAATGTAAGGGACATTCTTCCCACTGACCACCAATGTAAGGGACATTCTTCCCACTGATCACCAATGTAAGGGACATTCATCTCACTGACCTCCAATGTAAGGGACATTCTTCCCACTGACCCCCAATGTAAGGGACATTCTTTCCACTGACCACCAATGTAAGGGACATTCTTCCCACTGACCCCCAATGTAAGGGACATTCTTCCCACTGACCCCCAATGTAAGGGACATTCTTCCCACTGACCCCCAATGTAAGGGAAATTCTTCCCACTGACCCCCAATGTAAGGGACATTCTTCCCACTGATCACCAATGTAAGGGACATTCTTCCCACTGACCTCCAATGTAAGGGACATTCTTCCCACTGACCCCCAATGCAAGGGACATTCTTCCCACTGACCTCCAATGTAAGGGACATTCTTCCCACTGACCTCCAATGTAAGGGACATTCTTCTCACTGACCCCCAATGTAAGGGACATTCTTCCTACTGACCCCCAATGTAAGGGACATTCTTCCCACTGACCACCAATGTAAGGGACATTCTTCCCACTGACCTCCAATGTAAGGGACATTCTTCCCACTGACCCCCAATGTAGATTGGGTTCCTCTGTGGCAAGAACATTGAGGGAGGCTGTTTTAAATGACGGTTGACATTTCTTTTCCGTCTTGTCAGAGTTGTTTATCTCAGTATTTTCCCATTCATGAAATCTGTGTCCTTCATTAATACTTTCATTCATGGATCACACTGATAGGGTCACCGTATTCACCATACAAAGATTTGGTATGAATACTCCCAGTACAATGTGTAGCATGCACGTATAAATGCTCCGCTGATCTGATTCACCTCGTCTCATCCTTGCTGACGATTTTGCGGCATTCATCCAACATGAACCTTCTACAGAGCGCCTTTAATGAGGGCCTTGTAAATGGAGGGGCTTTGTGCATGTATCTTCCAGAATGTAGAAATCGGCCTCTTGTGGAATAATAGAACGGTATTAAATATGTTCCCTTGAAGCTTATCCTTGAAGGCTGCACACAGATGCAGGCATTGAATAATTCAAATAAAACACATCATTGTAATAATAGACGCCATAAAGCAGAGAATGTATTGGGGAAGAAGTTAACACATCAGTTTTATCCGAAAAGATCAACCCCAGCAATCCTCCTTTGTAGGTAAATCAGTAAAAAATGCAGCACTACAAAAACTACTTCTTCATAGGTTCAAAAAAATCCCGTAGCCTCCCTAGCGGTCTGATTATGTCCATATTTCTGTGCTCAAAGCGGCACATTTTTTTTCAGTGGAAATATGTTGGTTTTTTTATTGTAGGCCTGTAATTCTTAGGAATAACTCACTGAAATCTGTCCGAACAAGAGTCTAGTAAACATCCCGGGGAGGATAAAACTTGAAACACGAAATCATAAATTATAATTTAATAAATAATCATAAAAAATAATAAATTTAATTCAATAATATAATCAAACCAAAAACACTGAAATGTGAAATAGAGCGCCAAGTTCGCACATCGCGGAGCTCAGTCGCAGAATCGTTTTCAGTGTCTGATGAGGAATTTCCCCCCCTTACTGCCTACCGGGCACTTCTACCCCCTTCATGCCTACCGGCCACTTCTACCCCCTTCATGCCTACCGGCCACTTCTACCCCCTTCCTGCCTACAGGGCACTTCTACCCCCTTCCTGCCTACCGGCCACTTCTACCCCCTTCCTGCCTACAGGACACTACTACCCCTTTCCTGCCTACAGGGCACTTCTACCCCCTTCCTGCCTACAGGGCACTTCTACCCCCTTCCTGCCCACCGGGCACTTCTCCCCCCTTCCTGCCCACCGGGCACCTCTACCCCCTTCCTGCCCACCGGGCATTCTACCCCCTTCCTGCCTACCGGGCACTTCTACCCCCTTCCTGCCCACTGGGCACTTCTACCCCTTTCCTGCCTACAGGGCACTTCTACCCCCTTCCTGCCTACAGGACACTTCTACCCCCTTCCTGCCTACAGGGCACTTCTACCCCCTTCCTGCCTACCGGGCACTTCTACCCCCTTCCTGCCTACCGGGCACTTTTACCCCCTTCCTGCCTACCGGGCACTGTAACCCCCTTCCTGCCTACCGGCCACTGTAACCCCCTTCCTGCCTACCGGCCACTTTTACCCCCTTCCTGCCTACCGGGCACTTTTACCCCCTTCCTGCCTACCGGGCACTTCTACCCCCTTCCTGCCTACCGGCCACTTTTACCCCCTTCCTGCCCACAGGGCACTTCTACCCCCTTCCTGCCCACAGGGCACTTCTACCCCCTTCCTGCCTACCGGGCACTTCTACCCCCTTCCTGCCTACCGGGCACTTCTACCCCCTTCCTGCCTACAGGGCACTTCTACCCCCTTCCTGCCTACAGGACACTTCTACCCCCTTCCTGCCTACTGGGCACTTCTACCCCCTCCCTGCCTACAGGGCACTTCTACCCCCTTCCTGCCTACAGGACACTTCTACCCCCTTCCTGCCTACAGGACACTTCTACCCCCTTCCTGCCTACAGGGCACTTCTACCCCCCTTCCTGCCCAGGCCAATTTTCAGCTTTCAGCGCTGTCACACTTTGACTGACAATTGCGCGGTCATACAACACTGTACTCATATGACATTTTTATCATTTTTTTGAGACAGAGCTTTCTTTTGGTGGTATTTAATCACCTCGGGGATTTTTATGTTTTGCTAAACAAACCAAAAACAACTGAAAATTTTGAAAAAAAAAGTTTTTTCTTAGTTTTTGTTATAAAATGTTGTGAATAAGTGATTTTTCTCCTTCACTGATGTGCGCTGAGACTGCACTGATGGAAACTGATAGGCTGCACTGATGGACACTGATAGGTGGCACTGAAAGGCAGCACTCATATATGGCACTGATAGGCGGCACTGACTGGCACTATTAGGTGGCACTGACTGGCACTATTAGGTGGCACTGACTGGCACTGTTAGGTGGCACTGACTGGCACTGTTAGGCGGCACTGATAGGCAGCACTGACGGGCACAGGTAGGTGGCACTGATTGGAACTGATAGGCGGCACTGACTGGCACTGATAGGCGGCACTGATTGGCAGCACTGATAGGTGGTACTGACTGGCACTGATAGGTTGCACTGAAAGGCAGCTCAGATGGGCACTGATATGTGGCATTGATGTGCACTGGTAGACACTAATATGTGGCATTGATGAGCACTGACAGCTGGCATTGATGGACACTGACAGGTGGCACTACTGGGGCTACACTGATCATCAGGGCACATGTCCCCTCGTGAGGAAAGGAATGCCGATAACCGGCATTTCCCTATTTACATGCAATTAGCTGTGATTGGACACAGTTGATCACATGACCGAGCCGTCGTCTTCGGCTCTTTCCGTTGACCGCTGATCAGCTGTGTACGAGGGACACAGCGCACCACCGATTGTCGCGCTGCGCGCTCCCGGAGCCGCGCATGCACAGAGTGGGAGGACGTCATATAATGAGAACCGCCTTGCACCCTTCATTTCCTTATATGGCGGGCGGGAGGCGGTTAAATGAACACATTTCTTTAACAGTCGGCCCTCGTGAGAGGCTGGTCTGTATTATACATTTTTAATTTAGCAAACTCTTGAAAAGACATTTTCTGGCATGGACTGCTCCTTCTAATCTACATGGGAATGTCTCCTGGAGATGGCCCTATCCACTGGGGCTCAGCAGGGTCTGTTGGAGGGCAGAGCAAGTAATAGGCTGGAATAGGGCCCTGGGCTCCTAGTCTTACCCTCTTCTTTGTTAAGCAAAAATAAAATGACACATAATGCACTCAGATGCTCCTGGAATGACATCAAGGTCATCACACAACTGTGAGAATCCACCTGCAGAAGTCCCCTGAGGATTCCACTAGATGTAATTCACTTTGCTGAAGGCTCCTTTTCCCGTGTTTGTGTGCTAGGAAGGAAAAGGATGCATAAAAAAGGAGGTCATGCCCCCAAATGCATCATAACTATGGTAACCCACACCGCCTCCTTCAGGTTCACACCGCCCTAATGAATGATTGCCGGTCCTCCATAATCCTCTCCCCATGTCTGTATGTTAGGATAAAAAGAGAACAGTGGGCAGCCGGCCACAATAGTGTCTTGTGTATGACAGCCACCAGGTTTATGGAGGAACGGCAGTCAATTCAGTACAAGGGCGTACCCCACCGAAGGAGGCGGTGTGGGTTACCATAGCTGTGATGCATTTTGGGGGCATGGCCTCCTTTTTTTCAAGCATTCACACAGACATGGGGAGAGGAGCCCCTAGCTGAGTGGGTTACATCCAGTGGCATCCATACAGGGGTTCTGAAGGTGGATTCTCAGTTTTGTGTGATGATCTTGGTGTCAGTCCCGGAGCATGTGAGTGCATTATGTGTCATTTTATCTTTGCTTAACAAAGACTTTTATAGCACTACTAGGGCATGCGCTTCCCTGGTCTGTTGTAATTTACATTTTTTATTAATTATCATAGTAGCATTGAGGTTGTGGGCCACGGGTTGAGCATGCCTGATGTAAGCTGACCTCGGATACGTAGTGGTCTACAACCACCTGGTCACTATGAGTTGACTGGATCAACTAAAAGACCCAACGCCAAAGATGGGTCCCCAGTATTTTTCCAAAGAACACTGTCAGGGTCCCGAAACAGACATCATCTGCTATGACGTAGGCCCCATGTACACAAGTCACTTCTGAAGGATGGAAACTGACTGCTGGAAAACGTAGGTTTAAAAAACGTCTGTTTAGCCGTGTTTGCATACCTCGTTTATGCGCGTTTGCGGTTAGAAGCATTTTTTTTAAAGATAAGCACAGGAGAACCTCTCAAATTCCCAGAATGCACTGGAAAGTGGTAAATTATTACCTATTTCAGACTGTTTCAGAGAAATACAGAGAGTAGAAGCAGAGACAGCAGTATGTGTTGAGATTAGCTTAGGTGTGAGTTGCTCATTAACATTTCTTTTGTTTCCAATGGTGGGAAAGGTGTCTGGTGGAGGGAGTCATTAAGGTCACCTGGCAGGGGGTCTTCATGGGGAATTTGAGGTGTGAATGCTCATTAACATATCTTTTGTTTCTAAAGGTAGGAGAGGTCTGAAGTGTGAATGGTCATTAACATATCTTTTGTTTCCAAGGGTGGGAGAGGTCCGAGGAATGGTCATTAACATATCTTTTGTTTCCAAGGGTGGGAGAGGTATGAGGTGTGAATGGTCATTAACATATTTATTTATTTCAGGTACTTATATAGCAACCCGTCCATTTACGCAGCGCTTTACATATATATATCATACATTCACATCAGTTCCTAACCCACAAGGGGCGTACAATCTAAGGTCCCTAACTCACATTCATACATACACATACTAGGGCCAATTTAGACAGGATCCAATTAATCTACCAGCATGTCTTTGGAGTGTGGGAGGAAACCGGAGTACCCGGAGAAAACCCACGCAAGCACAGGGAGAACATGCAAACTCCATGCAGGAGGTGCCTTGGTCGGGAATCGAACCCATGACCCATTTACTGCAAGGCAGACGTGCTAACCACTAAGCCACTGTGCCGCCCCATCTTTTGTTTCCAAGGGTGGGAGAGGTCTGAGGTGTAAATCATCATTAACATATCTTTTGTTTCCAAGGGTGGGAGAGGTTTGAGGTGTGAATGCCCATTAACATATCTTTTGTTTCCAAGGGTGGGAGAGGTCTGAGGTGTGAACGCCCATTAACATATCTTTTGTTTCCAAGGGTGGGAGAGGTCTGAGGTGTGAATGTCAATTAACATATCTTTTGTTTCCAAGGGTGGGAGAGGTCTGAGGTGTGAATGTCAATTAACATATCTTTTGTTTCCAAGGGTGGGAGAGGTCTGAGGTGTGAATGGTCATTAACATATCTTTTGTTTCCAAGGGTGGGAGAGGTCTGAGGTGTGAATGCCATTAACGTATCTTTTGTTTCCAAGGGTGGGAGAGGTCTGAGGTGTGAATGTCCATTAACGTATCTTTTGTTTCCAAGGGTGGGAGAGGTCTGAGGTGTGAATTGGTCATTACAATGTGTGACAAGCTTGGTAGGAAGATCCTGTGTTCAGTGTTTTGTCCATTTGAGTACCTTGAAAACGATTTGCATGCATTTTTCATGATGAAAAAAGGATCTGGACGGCATCTGGAACTGGAACAGTTGAAAAACGCTTATAAACGTGGTTAAAATCTACTACTGAACGCAAGTTTGGTACGTTCAAAAAAAACGACTGTAAACTCAACTGCCTGTAAATGATGATGTGTAGATGGACACATAGGAAAACATTAGGGAGAGTTCAGGGACTTCTGAACGTGAATTTATGAGCTGCTGTGTACATGAGCCCTTGGCCAGTCATGTAGGCCTTGAACTCGTTTTACATTGTTCATAGCTAAATACAGGCCTGTCTTTATTTGATCAAACCTACTTGATCAGACGTGTATGATGGCGCATTCCATGGTTCTTTAAAAACTGCATAAAACCATTCATCCCAAGGACTGACCTTTTATTACAACATGGAAAACATCATCACTCTAGAATTAGAAAGGAAAAAAAAAACAATTCTGCCCGTACTTCTTTCGGTAACAGCAAGAGACACAACTGCAGAACCATGAAAACTCCGATTTATACTTTGTAAATTCTAAAGTGTCCGGGGAATACAATAAAACATGAAAGCCTGAGCCAAAATGACACAAACTGATTTCCATTTGTTGGTGACACGTGGCCCCAGGCTGCAATGGTTATTTCGGGTGCTAGACTCTTGCTCCAGAGGCCCCTCGTGGGTCGTTCAGGTCCACATGAAGCTCATCCCTCATGAGGATCACTTTTAGAAGAAAATAATTCCTTTTTTTTATTTTCTTTGAATGTCAAAAATCAGCCATAGGGTTTTCTTGTGTCACATCTACCAAACAAGACGTCTTGATGGACAAGAGCATCACCCGTGGGAGGAAAAAAAAATGTCTCTGTCCTGTCAGCAATACACTTTCTGTCTCTGATATATCAAGCGTAGACGGTCGGCAGCACTATTTCTGTTGCAGGACTATAGAGAAAAGCCAAGAATTTTAAAGAAAAAAAAAAATCACAAGAGACCAAACTGAGGGTGAAAATACCAATTTATTTTATATTCTTTTTCCATATTTATAAAGAACAGATATGAATGTGTGCTTTACAGAGCCCATAGAACAATTCATATTACATAGGTGGGGAAAAAAGACATATGTGCATCAACTTCAACCAATAGAAATAGAAATAATTACTAAATAAAACCTGTGTCCACAGAATGAGAACCATAAATACACATCTCATCCAGAGTAAAGCAAAAAAAAAAAAACTCCTTATGAAGCATGAGTAGATTTTAAGGAGACAATCCGTTCCTGATACGCCAAGGAAGCCTTTCACAACCAGGGTCCTGTGGAGCCCTAAAGTCCCTTCAGAGGCTACTAAGGGTTCCTTCTCTGAGCAATAAGCAATGTCTGCCTCTCAAAGGAAAAAAAAAAAACACTTTTTAGCTATCTTTTTTTTTGGGGGGGGGGACTTCCCACTGATCACCAATGTAAGGGACATTCTTCCCACTGACCCCCAATGTAAGGGACATTCTTCCCACTGACCCCCAATGTAAGGGACATTCTTCCCACTGACCTCCAATGTAAGGGACATTCTTCCCACTGACCATTAATGTAAGGGACATTCTTCCCACTGACCCCCAATGTAAGGGACATTCTTCCCACTGACCCCCAATGTAAGGGACATTCTTCCCACTGACCCCCAATATAAGGGACATTCTTCCCACTGATCACCAATGTAAGGGACATTCTTCCCACTGACCCCCAATGTAAGGGACATTCTTCCCACTGACCCCCAATGTAAGGGACATTCTTCCCACTGATCCCCAATGTAAGGGGCATTCTTCCCACTGACCCCCAATGTAAGGGACATTCTTCCCACTGACCGCCAATGTAAGGGACATTCTTCCCACTGATCGCCAATGTAAGGGACATTCTTCCCACTGACCCCCAATGTAAGGGACATTCTTCCCACTGACCCCCAATGTAAGGGACATTCTTCCCACTGACCGCCAATGTAAGGGACATTCTTCCCACTGATCGCCAATGACCCCCAATGTAAGGGACATTCTTCCCACTGACCTCCAATGTAAGGGACATTCTTCCCACAGATCACCAATGTAAGGAGCATTCTTCCCACTGACCACCAATGTAAGGGACATTCTTCCCACTGACCCCCAATGTAAGGGACATTCTTCCCACTGACCGCCAATGTAAGGGACATTCTTCCCACTGATCGCCAATGACCCCCAATGTAAGGGACATTCTTCCCACTGACCTCCAATGTAAGGGACATTCTTCCCACAGATCACCAATGTAAGGGACATTCTTCCCACTGACCCCCAATGTAAGGAGCATTCTTCCCACTGACCACCAATGTAAGGGACATTCTTCCCACTGACCCCCAATGTAAGGGACATTCTTCCCACTGACCCCCAATGTAAGGGACATTCTTCCCACTGACCACCAATGTAAGGGACATTCTTCCCACTGACCTCCAATGTAAGGGACATTCTTCCCACAGATCACCAATGTAAGGAGCATTCTTCCCACTGACCACCAATGTAAGGGACATTCTTCCTACTGACCCCCAATGTAAGGGACATTCTTCCCACTGACCACCAATGTAAGGGGCATTTCTTCCCACTGACCCCCAATGTAAGGGTTATTCTTCCCACTGACCCCCAATGTAAGGTGCATTTTTCCCACCAGTCACCACTGTAAGGTGCATTTTTCCCAATAACCCCGTTGGGCACCTGTGGTAGTGAGCCCTTGTAGATTGCCAACTTGGTGTTCCCCAGGGTGTGGAGTCCAAGCCCCAGCCTGCTTCTTCACCAGAGCCCCTGATGGTTGGGATGGACTTGCAGCAAGCTGGAACCAGATCACAGCCCCCAGGTACGCCCAGCTGAGGATATGGAGACCGCTTGCGTAAGTAGAGTACAATGGGAGGAGACAACAGGAAATCCGATAAACAAGCTGAGGTCAGGATGGGCGGAAAACAAGCACAGTCGGTAAACGAAGCTGGGGTAGGTACACGTGTAGTCAGGTGCAGGATACAGGAGTTTTCAATAAACAGGAGCTCAGAGAACTAAGAAGTTGCTCAGGCAAAATGTACTAGACTGAGCATGTCTTATATAGACAAGCAAAGTAGGAGGCGGGCCAGGAAGTGATGGAAGGGAAGGAAATAAAACCCAGAGAACAGCAGATGACGCCCATAGGTGAGCACAGACAAACACACATGTGAAAGGGATCAGGAACAGCACTGCAGCAAGGAGATAAGAATACACAAACAAGAAACTGCAGGCTAACTTGTGACACCCCCAATGAATTTGTTTTATTAGGGGTTCACCGAGACCTAAAAATTATTTCAAGGGTTTTTCCCGAGTAAAAAGTCCCACCAGGTACAGTATATCCACTGCCAATCACATTGTCCATCAATACAGATCCATCTCATTCACTGTGAATGACTTATGTTGGTCCGCAATAAAAAAAATAATAATCTGATGCTTACAACGGCTCGCCTGCAAATGACAGCTCCGGCGGATGACAGATAAGTTTAAAATGTTTGCGGGTTTCCTGGGCATCATGATGTCATGTCATACATTTTGGCCGAGATTTATGATGAAATATTATTTATTTGCAAAATTGTATAAGAAAAACACTTTTTTTTTCAAAATTGTTGGACTTTTTCATTTACATAGCAAAAAAAAGTCTATTATCTGTTCAAAACTCTTTATAAAGTGCACTTTAAAGGCATAAAGGGACATGATTAAAAAAAAAATTGTAGTTGCATAAGAACAGAAAATACACCTCTCATAGTGCAGATGGTTTAAAAAAACTCTATTGAATGACTAAGAATCGCACTTAAATACATAAAAAATCATAAAGGCAAACAATATAGTTACCAAACGGCATCAAATGTCACCGCTTCCGGTGGATATTACGCGATGACGTCACAGGGAAGGCTTTGCTCGATGCGTTTCGTCACAACAGATGTCTTCTGGGCTAGGAGAGGATGTCCTCTTTGGTGCTTTTATTCTGTGGTTACACAATTCTAATTTTACTCCGCTTTTTTATTCATATTTTGTTACTTGTTATGATCCACCTGGAGGTACCTCTGGCAGTCCACCGGACAGGATTTCCCAGAGCGTGGGGTCTAAGTCCCGGTCTACTTGTTCACCAGGGCCCCTAATGGTGGGGATGAACTTGGAGCAGACCAGGACCAGGTCACGACCTCTGAGCACTCCCACCCGTGGCAGAGGGTCCCGCAGGGAATATCTACAAGAGGAGAGCCTGATGTGAAGAGGCCAGGTCCGAGCAGGATGGATGGATGGATGGATGTTTCGTGGTCAGACAGGCCAGGTCGTTACCGTGGGAGCAGCGTGGTACAAGGCGGCAGGCAGAGGAGAGTCGGGTCACACGCAGGGTCAACACCAGAGTTTTCAATCCAATAGGGGTAATCCAAAAGAGAGGTCAGGCAAGCCAGGGGTCAGGGTAGGAGAAGGCAGCAAATCAGAGGCAATCGGGGTCAGTAATCAGGCAATAGTACACAGGAACAGAGCAGGGGAACACAGGGAAGACCTAACGGCAACCAGTGTCAGCGCAGGGCATCTTTAAATACCGCACCCTGCTCTGTCATTGGTGCCCAGCGTGCACCCGCGGCACCTAGTGCGCATGCGCGAGTTCCACTCCGCCGCGGTCGGCCAGGACCTAGCGCCCGTATCCTGGCGCGAGCCGGCAAACTGCGCATGTGCCGGATCTGATATTACAATTCAACGGAATTTATATGGCGCCAACAGTTTGCTCAGCGCTTCACAATATAACAGGAGACAATACAGCAACGATACGGTTCAATACAAGAGGGTTAGGAGGGCCCTGATCCTGGGAGTTCATCCAATCAGAATGCAGATTCGGGTGTATGTTCCGATATTCCATACTGAGTTTTGTATTTAGCTTTTCAGTCACAAAGAACACCAACATCAATGCTATCTGGCAATCCTGATATGAATACAATGCAGAGTTCCTCGGAAAAAAATGGACTTTTATTTCTTCTTTGGTTAAATCGTCATTTCTAAGTCTCAGTCACAGCGAGTCGTCAGAGAGGACAATAGAGACACGCATCAAATTATTGTTCCACGGCATCCGGGGAGCCTCTATAAGCACTGACATCCAGTTTATTACTGTATTGTCATGTGAACTGAAATGACTGGGGACTCTTTTGAAGGTCACATACAGTTTTCTTCCTGTCATTTACCTTAAGGCGTTCTGGTGTTATTAGATTTGGAATCCAGCTGCCAGTCAGCAGTCAAGGGCACCGTTTCCAGTCCTGTACCGGGGCCTCCCGCTTATTGCTCTCTGATGTCGGCGTGTTTTACCGTCTGAAAAGAATGGAGAAAAGAAAATAAAAGAAAGATAATAAATAAATACAAGTGTATCTGTCTTCTAATGTTTTGTTAAGCTGCTGAGCTGCTGGAGGCTTTCAGCCCATCATACAGAAGCGGATTATAATAAGGGCAAAATTGGTGGTTGCCTGGGGCCCCAGACCCAAGGGGGGGGGGGGGGACCGGGGGGGGGGGGGCAATGGGATGCTAAAAAGTTCTTCATTCCTCTTCATAATAACTTAAATTCATCTTTGCAGGTATTACCGCTCCATCTCCACCACCCCCCTCTGCCAATCCCTCCACTGACCTCCATTCAGTGTCCTCCACCCCCCTCTGCCAATCCCTCCACTGGCCTCCACTCAGTGTCCTCCACCCCTCTCTGCCAATCCCTCCACTGGCCTCCACTCAGTGTCCTCCACCCCCCTCTGCCAATCCCTCCACTGGCCTCCATTCAGTGTCCTCCACCCCCCCTCTGCCAATCCCTCCACTGCCTTCCGATTGCGCAACGGATCAAATTCAAAATCCTAACACTGACGTACAAAGCCGTCCACCATACTGCCCCGAACTACATCACTGACCTAATATCCAAGTACCACCCAACACGCACACTCCGCTCCTCACAAGACCTCCTTCTCTCTAGTTCCCTGGTCTCCTCCTCCCATGCCCGCCTCCAGGACTTCTCCAGGGTGTCACCCATCCTCTGGAACTCCCTGCCCCAACCCATCAGATTATCACCTACTCTCCTCTCCTTTAGGCGCACCCTGAAAACCCATCTCTTCAGGGAAGCCTACCCCACCCCCTGCTAACCTGCCGACCTCCTCCATTCTTCCCACCACTCCATCCCCCACAGCTATCTCCTCCTGTGCCACCATCCCCTCCCTCCTAGATTGTAAGCTCGAAAGAGCAGGGCCCTCGATCCCCTCATGTTTTGCATTGTATTGGTATTGTTCTGTCACATGTTCTGTCCCCCTTTGTAATGTACAGCGCTGAGCCAACTATTGGCGCTTTATAAATACTGTATAATAATAATAATTACAGCAGTAGTAGTCACTGGTTACTTAAAATAGTGAACCTCAAGAATGGCCCCTGACATCATCAAAGGGCCACACATAATATTCCGTGACTGTAATGTTACGGAATTATGTCAGGGACTGCAGACATGCAGCAGAAGATGGATATGGACTATGGGCATTCTACAAGGGATACAACAATAAATGCTCAGAGACTAAGGGCATGCTACAAGAGATGCTAAGAGACTAGGCATTCTACAAGAGATTGTCAAAGACTAAAAGTGTGCTCCAAGAGATGGTCAGAGGGTACGGGCATACTACAAGAGATGGTTAAAGACCAGGGGCGGACTGACCATTTGGAAACTCGGGCACTGCCCGAGGGCCCGGGGTCAGTAGGGGGCCCCATGAGATGCCCCTGGTACCTTTTTCATAGGCTTTTTTGAGTTTGGGCAAGGACACAGGGGCCCCATGATCCCCAATTGCCCGGGGGCCCCATGAGTTGTCAGTCCGCCCCTGTTAAAGACAATAGGCATTCTACAAGTGATGGTAAGTGATTAAGTGCATGCTACAAGAGATGCTCAGAGACTGTGGGGGTGCTCCAAGAGATGGTCAGAAACTAAGGGAATCCTACAGGAGATGGTCAGA